CCTTCCTCCCCACCACAACAAAGATCCATTTTAAAAATATCAGTATTATATTGTGCTATTATTTAGCTTTTGGACATGAAACATAGCACCCTTGGAAGAATTAAAAATGAATATCAAACAGAAGGTAATAGAGACCAGTGTGATGGATGTGAACAGGAGGCAATATGTAACAAATAAGCAACTTTGAAGAAAAAGAGGAACAAAAGATGTCACTAGAAAAACAGATGGCTAGAAAAACAAAAAGATGGGCTGACCACATGATGAGTATCAGAGATGAAAGTCCCAGAGTACACCCTGGCACCTTGCCCATGTCAAGAAGGTGTCCAGCACCAGCGGTGGATCCTCAGTGATGAATTTATGGAAGGACACTGGCAAGAGTCAAAGGCTGGGTTGTAATCTTTATCATTACAGGTAACATCCAAATCAGTGAGATCACATATATATTTTAATATTTTAGAACTGGAGAGAATGTAAAAAAAAAATCATGAACAATCTCTTCATTTTTAGGAGAAACAGGCCCAGAGAGATGAAATAATTTGCCAACATAACTAGCAAATAATAGTGCCAAACCTAAGTTCTTTGATTCTGAATTTTGTACTTTTCCCAGTCTGCCATTATAGTTCTTCATTTTAAGGCTTTTCCCTTCCCAATTCAAAACAAAAACAGCATACTTGTTTTTTTTATTAGGCAATTGGGGTTAAATGACTTCCCAGGTTCACACAGCTAGTAAGTATCAAGTGTTCGGAGGCCAGATTTGAACTCAGGTCCTCCTGACTTCGGGGCCGGTGCTGTATCCACTGTGCCACCTAGCTGCCCAAGCAGGACACTTTTAAAGAATGCTCAGAGCAGGCACAGTCTCTAAACAAGCTGAGGGTCCTCTGCTTCATCTCCACTCAGGACTTTCTAGACAGAATAATTTTGCTTCTCAATGTATCAATACATATATTTTTTTAATCAGAAGTCATCATTTTCTCAATGGGAACAAGAATTCCAGGTCCACTAGAAGTTAAAAAAAATCATTTTGGGTAGATATTTTACATGAAGATGCCTATATCTTACAGGGCGTAGGGAACATATGGCAGTGTCTGGGCCAAGTAAAGACAAAATATATTACTAGAATTTATTTTAAAATATAAAATATAAAAGGAGGAAAACCAACTCATTTGGGTTTCATCTGCTGAGACTTCTGGGTCAGTCTAGTGTCAGTCAAAATACAGGTATTGCTATTCTTATTACAAGATAAAACCATAGGCTCAGATTCTTAAAATCTAGTCAGGGGCTCAGAATCTTAAGATCTGACCTGCTTACATTAGTGATACAAATGCTACAATTCCTTAAGAATCTGGCCAATATGGCAGATGTTCTAATAAACCTTGTCTTTGGCTGAAAGAAGGCTTGGGTCAAATTCATGCAGGCAGGACCTGTGTGTCATGATTTCGGGGTCCCAGCACCTCTGACCTCTAAACCTCAACATTTTGGTGGCCTAACCTCAAGTTCTTCTCCCAGCCAAGACTGGAAGGTATGTGAGCCTCCCCCCCTTCTTTCTTGTCCTGCAGTTGGGGTCACTCTCCAAGCATCTAGGAAGGCTTGTAAGTGCTTTTCGAGTAGACAGTTATGAGGCTGTCTTGCACTCAGCCTGAAGTTCTCAGGCTGTCAGTCCACTGGTTCTGTTGGAGGCCATGGACCTGGGTACACCCTTCACAGCATAGAGAACAAGGATGGACTTCCTATCCAGAAGCATATGCCCAATTCTGTCAATTCTCTCGGCGCTAGGGAATTGGGAAAATTGCAGGTGCTTTTTGGTTCTCTGAGGCTTACTTACTCCCTTCCCTCTACACCCCTGGATCCTCCTTCATGGAGGTTACAGGGAAAAGTTAGAACATCGAAAAACATTAGCAGATTCTGGAAATTTTGTGATAGATCATTAAGGAGTTTTGAAACACCTCCTTGCAACCCTGGTTACTCCCATCTCCCACTCCCTTCTCTTGAGTTAAAAAGGTGTCTGTTAATCCCTCTCATAGGAGAAAAGAGTTTCACCTTCCCCTCCCCTCCACCTCTGAATTCACCCTTTACAGCATGGGCCCCACTGACAATGTCCTTGGGCCCCGGGGCAACGTTTTTGGGGAAGCATCACTCAGGTTCAGCACATCCTGCTCCAAGGTAAAGAAGCTAGCCTCTGAACTTGGGTAAGCACACTCTTTTAAAGTTGTAGTTTTAACTGTTAATGATGAAATGTTGATTCTCTTTGTAAATTAATTAGGAAATGCATTTAACTAAATTGGTGAACTTTTTGTATCAGTTATGCCAAGCAAGTTTTCATAATTTGGCTATTGTTGATTATTGTTTTAATGTGTAAACTTGCCAAAAAGCTTGTTTGGGGTTTGTCTTGCTAAGAATTTGCAAGTATATAGAAATAATCTCTAACAATTGGCTTTTTATACCAGGACAGATTTAAATTTGAGATGTAAATCCTAGAAAAGTTTTTCCTAAGCTGTGATTAGTGAAACTTGCTGTGTGAGGTAAAAGCTCACGGGATTTTATTTTGAGTTGTCTGAGATCGTAATAATCCAGCGATAATCAATAATCCATTATCTGAGAGAAATGCCACAAGCTACTCAGAGAGAATGTGATACTGGTGGGAAGTCAGCATCAGGAAAAGGTGAGAGGATAATTTTAGCCTCAGTCTAAGATGGGATGGTCCTGGCTCAGTTTCCCCACTATGTTCCTTTGAAAAGGAATGCTACCCACCTGGCTATTCCTGAGTCTGCCTACGAGGTGGATTTGATACTACATAGTTGGAAAACTGAATTATCTGAATCCAAACAGAGCTAAGTATATTTAACGTATTTGGGCCCTAAATCTTGTCCCTGCTTTATCCTTTTATAGCAAATTTCTATAATCAGAGCAAGTGGTCAGTAGAAGAATAATGCAAGTGAGTGAGATCTAGCTGTTTTCACCTGAATTTCAGTGATAATTGAAGTGAAAATCAGCCTCTGGCAAATTCAAATTCATTTGTATAGCTATTGAACCCGGGGGAAGAAAACTTGTACCTGCAAAAGTGTTACTTAAACTTTAGAAAAATTAACAAGATCAGATAATCCTGTAGGTCAGATGTAAATGATTTTAATGGGGCTCTTACACTTTTAACTTCTCCCTGCAGCTGGGCCCTGCAGTCTTTTTCTGTCAGATTTGTGTCTTCCAGACTACAGGCCATTCACCTACATTTGGTAGCAAACAGTGGGTACCAGCCAATGCCCCCCATCATCTCCAGGATGCAGCCAGGCTCGGTTCCAGTCAACCTACTCTTTGGGACCCCTTCAAGGCAGGGATAGCTCTATGCCCCTTGCCAGCAGGAAGCAGTTTCAGAAGCCAAGACCTTCGTCCCTTATCCCAAAAGAATTTGGGTCCCATTTGTTTGAGGGGAGAATGATGGGATCTGAACCCCTAAAAGGAAAAGACCATGTCATTGGGATCTGGCCCCCAAAAAGGAAAAACCCTGGACTTTCCCACCTGGCCAAATCTCTGGCACTCACCTGAGGCTATAATCCTATCAACTGGTTTTTCACTGTGGCTACATCTAGTCACACAATTCCGTTTTCTTACCTCCCAATTGCCCCTGGCTACTTCTCACTCTTAATGCTATCTAGACTCCATTCTCCCTTTGCCACTTGGCGAGGTCCCTGGCATTCTGTTCACCCCAGTTTACTGGCCACTCCCATCCAGATCCTCCTTAGACTCACTCCTCCAGGAATCCCAAACTACTTGGCCACTCCTAGATCCCTCCCACGATCTTCCTGACTCCAGGCTGGCATTCTATCCCTCCCCACCTAGCTGACACTCTTTATTTTGTATGGATGGATGATTTAAGTCTCTGTTCTCACTTAATTTTTTTTTTCAGTGACGCAATTGGAGGGTAAGTGACTGCTGTTAAGTGACTTGCCCAGAGTCTGAGGCTGGATTTGAATTTAGGTCTTCCTTTATCCAGGCCAGGTACTCTACCCACTGTGACACCTAGCTGCCCCGTTCTCACTTAGTTAAGGCATCAACTAAAATGGGTTAAATTCCCCCTCCTCTTCATCCCCCAACTAAGTAGACTTGAACCTTTAGATTAGGAGCTCCTGGAGGGCAAGGACCTTTGCTTTTCTATGTATCTTCAGCAAGTTTAGCACAAAGCAGGCGCTAAATAGTTAATAAGACTGACTGACTGAGGTGCCTTTCTTGCCCCCGGCTTGAGACTGGGCTCTCTTAATTCTTGTCCTTTCCCTCTTTTAATTATTTCCTAATTACCTGTATATAGCTTATTCCTTCTATATTTGTTTGCATGTGTCTCCCCTATTAGACTGTAAGCTCCTAGAGGGCAGGGATTGTCATTTGCCTTTCTGTGTCTCCCCCAGTGCTCAGCACAGTGCCAAGCACATAGTTCGAGGTTAATGAACACTTGGACAGCTAGGTGGCTCACTGAGCTTAAAATCAGGAAGACTCATCTTCCTGAGTTCAAACCCAGTCTCAGGCACTTCCTAGCTGTGTGACCCTGGGTGCAGTCACTTAACCCTGCTTGCTTCAGTTCCTCATCTGTAAAATGAGCTGGAGAAGGAAATGGCAACCGCTCCAGTATCTCTGCCAAGAATATCCCCAAATTGGGTCTCGAAGAATCGGACCGAACAAGAAGGAACACTTAATGACTGTCGGCTTGGTCAGAGACACCTTAGGCCAGGCTGGGGACTGGGCCTGCACAGGACCAAGAACAGGAATTGTTATGGCCACAGCACCTTCCCGTCTACCACATGCACTGAAAACAATGCGGGCTCCAGAGAGGTGCAGTGCTCGCGCCTCGTTCGGAACACACTCAGAAGAATTTCCTGGTTTGGGATTTTTGCCCCGGGCTCACATTAAAAAAAAAAGAGGAGGCAGTCTGCGCATGCGTCTGTGTAGCCTCGAGCGCCAGCCAATCAAGCCAATCAACACACCAATCCCGGCGGCAAAGCCCGCCCCCTCCTGGTGGCTTGGTTCGTTCCCGCCAGCCTGCGCGCCACTCCCCTAGAGGTAACTGTTGTGAAGGGGGAAGGGGCGTGGAAGTCCCCAGCAACTGGCCCAAGCCGCCTGGCGTCCCTGCGGTGCGACTGCGACCCCCGGACCGCGCTGCCAGCGCAGCGAGGGGGACATGCAGCTGGGCGCCCTGCCCGCTCGACCCTCCCCCGACTCTTCCCCAGCCCCGCTGTCGGGCTGCCCCTTGAGGCCGGATGCGGCCCAGCCTGGTTCGGGGAGGAGCAAGGAGAGCCTCGGTGTCAGGTACGCTGGAGCGGCCGTGGGCCAAGGGGCTGGCTAGGGTCGGGAAGGGTTTGCCCATCGTGCTGGCGGCCCCCTGGGCCAGGCCGGCCTCCCCAGTGCCCCAGCGTCCTAGGATTTACAGCTGGCAGATCGTGTATGTCTGTGTGTGCGCGCGCTGCACACCAGAAACGGGCTCTGAGGAAACGATATTTCATATTGGTGCTTAATGTATTGCATCAGTAAGAAAGAGGACCCTGACTGCTGGATCAGGTCGTTATCAACACTTCCTGGTCTGTAGATTTAATGGTTAACACTTCTTCCTCGTGTGTGTGTGTGTGTAAAATTGGAAGGTGTGTTGATTTGCCTTCTGCCCACACTTGTTACTTGTTTTGTTATTTGCATTTTTAAAAGGGTAGAATGGTACATTTTCCTTCTGATAGCTTCGAGCATTTCCTCCACGCCTGTCCTCCACCAGTTTGCCCCCGGGGCATCTTTGTGCAGTTGTTTTTCTCAACAATTATTTGTGTTGTTTTCTGAATTGAGAAATGAATTTGTTTTCCCTGAATTTTCTCTCCCATCAGTGTTTTGTGTCCTCTAGGCACTTTCCACTGTTTACTAGTTATTTTGTTTTCATTTCTTTTTGTGTGTGTGCTTATTAAATTTAAATTTTAAAGAGACTTGTTCCATATATTGTCATTACAAACCCACCTGTCTTCTTACCTTAGTGTTTTTAATTTAGCTTTCGGCTAATGTACTGCTCTAGGGCTTTAATATTTTTTAAAATATAAAAGTGTTGGGGCTTTCTTTCAAATGTTAAATATGTAGAGCTAATTAGAAATGCAAATTAAAACAACTCTAAAAGCCCTCCCCTCCCCCGCTACTCAGTCTGTGTCAGGGGCTGTGGGGAATACTGGTGCTGCTGTTGTGAATTAGACTGACTAATCATTGTTGAATATTATGTGAAATTTTGGGTGAAAAATCCCTATAAACCATTCATACCCTTCACTTACCGATATGCCTATTGAGCATATACCCCAAAGAGGTTAGACAGAAAGGTACTATATAAATCAAATTATTTGTAGCAGTCATTTTTATACTAGCATAAAAACAGTTAACAAAGTGGGGAATGGCCAAACAAATCAAGGTATATGAACCGTGAGGAAGAATAAATAGGAGGAATCCAGAGAAACATGGTAAAATGTGTATGAATTTGATGCAGAGCAAAGTGAAGTTGTACTGGGAGAGTAGTCAACTCAATGACTACTATAAAGTAAAGGAAAATAATATTTGCAGTAACCAATATTGGTCTCAACTAACTTTCTGCCTCAGGGAGGTGAGTGTGCATAGAATGCATAGCTACTTTTGTAGGAGTTTGGTTGGTCACTTTTGCTTAAATATTTTTTATGAGGGAAAATTGGGAAATGACTGGTGTAAAAAAAAAGGCTTCCAATAAAACTTTTTAAAGAGACAAAAGTAGAGTAATTCAAATTTAAGATGAAGTTCCTTCCTATTTATGGCATAATATATTTAAATGGTTTCTTGGAAATTTTTGTGTGTAGTGACTTTCAGGCAGATTGCTTGCTACTTTAGTAGTACTTCCTTAATTCTCTCTTGACTTATGTTAGTTACTAGGATACGGTATGTTGCTATGACTATTAAAGCTTAAAACTGCATTAAGACTTTGGGACACCTTTAATAAGGCATTTTATCTTCCTTTTTTCTTCAGTTGTAATTGAAAAACTAATTATTTTGTGTGCTTTGGGAGGTTGATCCCTACATATTTTATGCATTTTGTAATTATTTGGAATGGATTTCAGTTTTTATTATTGCTTCTTATCATTCATTGTTATTTTATAGAAATGCTATTGATTTTTGATGATTTATTTTGTAGCCTGAAACTTTGCTGAAACTGTTAATTGTCTTAATGAGTATCTTTCATTATTCCCTGGGGTTATCCTAATAAGCCATCGTATCTTTAACAAAGAGAGATAGTTTTATCTTCTCTTTACCTCTCTTTATTATTCCTTTTATGTGGTACCTAGGTACCTAGCACTGGGCCTGGAGTATCTGAGGTCAAATCCAACTTCAGACACTTAGTAGCTGTGTGACCCTGGGCAACTCACTTAACCCTTTTTGCCTTAGTTCCTCATCTGTTAAATGAGCTGGAGAAGTATCTTTCTCGGTATCCAGGATCCAGTATCTTTGTCAAGAAAACCCCAAATGGAGTCGTGAAGAGTTGGATACAGCTGAAAATCTTTTAATTCCTTTATCTTGTCTTACTGCTATTGCTACCATTTCCAAAACTATATCAAATAATAGGGAGAATAGGCATCTTTGCTTAACTCCCAAATTTATTGGAAAAGATTCTAGTGTATTCCCATTGCATACTTGCTTGCTTTTGATGATATTAAAAAAAGGTCCCTTTATGCTATACTTTGTAGGGTTTTTAGCATGAAACAGTATTATGCTTTGTCAAAGGCTTTTTCTGCAGTATTGATGATCATGTGGTTTTGGATGTTTTGTTTTTTAATGTGATTAATTATGTTGATATTTTCCTAATATTGAACCCTCCTTTTATCCCTGATACAAATCGTACTTGATAAAAAAAAAAGATTTCTTGGATAAATTGTTCTAGTCTGTTTAATAGGGTTGTGTTTAAATTTTTTGTCAAGGTTCATTAATGATTTATTGATCTGTGGTTTTCTTGCAATGTTTTATCTTTCCCTGGTTTGGGTATTAGGACTATATTTGTTTCGTAAAGGATTCTGATAGCATTCTTTCTCAGTTTTTGAGAGTAATTTGTGGAGTATGTTTGCTAATTGTTCTTTAAAAGTTTGATAGAATTCTCTGGTTGAATATGATAGAACTAGCAGTTTTTTTCCCCCCTGTGGTAATTCCTTTATACCTAGATCTCTTTTTCTGAGATTAGGTTATTTAAGATCTTGATATAGACTTCTGATAGTTTAGGCATTTTATATTTATGAAGGCATCCCTCTATTTCTTTTGTGTTCTCAGTTTTATTAGCATATAACTGTATATAATATGTTTTGATTATTCTTTTTCTTCTAGTTTTGTTGTCATTTCACCTTGCTTATTTGTTATTTTATTGATTTGATTCTTTGCTCTCTTTAATCAATTAGTTAGAGGTTTGTCAATTTTATTAGTCTTTACAAAGAACCAGCTTTTAGTTTTATTTATCATTTCTGTGGCTTTTGTTTATTTCCAATTTATATCCCATCTAATTTTTAATATCTCTGCTGTGCTTATTTTAGGTTTATTTAAAAATTTTTTTGAATAGATATTCAGTTCCCTAATCTTCTCTTCTATTTTGTTAACATATGGTTGTAAGGTATTAGCCTCAGAGTTTGGTCTAAGAAAGACAAACAGTAATAGGTTGTTGCTTGTTCGTTTATTTCTCTCAAGTGGGCAGAGCATCCCTGCAGAGCTCAGTTCAGACTGACTCATTTGTCTTTCTTAGACCAAACTCTGAGGTTGATATTAGGTGTGATTTCCTTCCTGAGGACAACTTTAGCTGCATCTCAGAAATTTTGGTATGTTGTTTCATTGTTATCATTTTCTTTTATGTAATTATTGTTTATATGTTTTATTATTTGACCTGCTTGTTATTTGAGATTTCAGTGTTAAGTCTTCATTTGGGTCTGTATCTTTTGTTTGTGGTCCCTGAGGCAATTGCTGTTACTGTTATATTATGGTTTGTAAAGGATAGATTAATTATTTCTGCCTTTTTTATATTTGCTTGCAATTTTTGTAGAAGTGGTGTGGGAAAATATGTACATTCTCTTGCTGCCCCATTTACAAGTCTCTTTTTAAACGCTGGTTTATCCAGAAATTTGTTCAGTTTCATATTTTCTCTTTTGTTTATCTTTCTATTAGACTTATCCAAAACTGATGGAGAGATATTGAAGTCTCTTGTTGCTATTGTGTTACTGTCTATGTCTTCCTGAAGCTCTGATAATGTTTCCTTTATCGATTTGGATGCTTAGGTGTTTGGTGTGTATGAGTTTATTACTGATATTGGTTTGTTACTTATGGTCCTTTTCAGCATAATATAGTTTCCTTGTTTATCCCTTTATATTTTTTGAATGTTTGTTTTTGTTTTGTCTGATAGCATGATAGCGACTCCTTTTTTTAGATTCACTTGAAGCATAATAAAAAATTTTCTATCCACATAGTTTTATTTTGGGTATGTTTTTGTTTTTTAAGTGTTTTCTTGTAAGCAACAAATTGTAGGGTTTTGTTTTCTTATCCAATCTGTCACTCATTTTTATTTTATTGGACTGTTTAATCTAGTCATATTTAAAGTTATAAGATTTAGGTACATATTTTACTTCATCTGTCTCCAAATTTTTTTAAGTTACGATTTTTCCTTTTAGTTAAGGTCACCCTATTCCCACTAGCTGTCTTCTCACCACATGCTCTCTTCTTGCTTGTTAGCCCTTTTCCTTTTGGGAGTTTGTTAATTAGTTCCTGTCTCCTGCTTTTATCTGGTTATATATTTCTTCCTCTTTTTTCTTCTCAGTCAAATGGATTCTCCCTTTCTCTCCTCACCTTCAGGTGGTCTTGTTTATTAATTTTTAAAATTTCTGATTTTTGGTACTTCTTTCCAAAAAAGGATTTCTCTCTCTTCATTATCCATCTTCTGTTTACTCTAGACCCTCATTCTCTTGACTCACAGCCCCTGTAATCATCGAGTCCCTCTTTTTTTCTCTGTGGTTTTCGTAGAATTAAAACTTTCAAGATAGCCATTCTAGGCTCTCTCTTCTAGGTGCTTTCTGCCACTGCTTTGGAGGGCCTACCCCTGTGGATTCCTTTTTTTCTATTGTGCCTCACTCTCAGAACAGTGCCAGTTATTGCAGGTGTCAGGACATTCCCTCATTGCTATACCTTCTGTTGTTGACTTTTTTTTTCTCATGTTATTTGCCTGGTACTTGCCCTGTGTCCATATTCTTAGTCCTCTGGGTGCCAGTTGCCCCCAGGAGTTCCAACTTCTCTCCTCCCAG